TCCTCCATCAAAGAGGCTCTGGGCGCTCTTCATTGCTTATTCAATATACTTGTTTTTCATCTTTCTTCAATTCTTTTCTATTTTCTCCTCACTTAGATAATTCTCTTCATTTTCAGCGTCAATATTATATTATTCACGTTAACTTACAATTTTATTGTGCTAAAGAATTAATGTTTAATTGAACTCCACTTAAAGAAAAATAATTATAATGCTGAAACAAGTAGAAATTTGAATTATACGAAAGAAGGGAACATGAGAAAAACAGAAGAGATACAAACGAGGACGAGAACAAAACAGAAAAGTGAAATAAAGATTCGGAACAACCCACGTGGAGAAAATGAAATAGACGGTAGCACGAGTACTGTATTTTTAGGCATCCAACTGATGTCTCCTTCAGAAGATTGTTGCTTTAGTTCCACAGATATCATCAACTGCCTGTCATACAATCTGCTTGCTACGTTCTGTTGCCTTGGGACTTTCTAAAACTCACTCTCTCTCTCTCTCTCTCTCTCTCTCTCTATCTATCTGTCTATCTATCTCTCAACCACACATACATATGCTCAAAAACATGCGCTAAGCCCGAATGGGTTATGCAGTACACACAGACAAGAGGCTGAATTAACGACAAATATTTATCTGAAAATTTTGTTTTATGATAATTACCAGAGACGAGGTGCTCCCTACACCGGCCTCCAAGTCGGTGCGACTGGGCGTCGGTGCGACTGGGCGTCGGTGCGACTGGGCGTCGGTGCGACTGGGCGTCGGTGCGACTGGGCGTCGGTGCGACTGGGCGTCGGTGCGACTGGGCGTCGGTGCGACTGGGCGTCGGTGCGACTGGGCGCCGGTGCGACTGGGCGCCGGTGCGACTGGGCGCCGGTGCGACTGGGCGCCGGTGCGACTGGGCGTCGGTGCTACTGGGCGTCGGTGCGACTGGGCGTCAGTAGGCTGGGCGTCGGTGCGACTGGGCGCCGGTGCGACTGGGCGTCGGTGCGATTTGGAGTCGGTGCGACTGGGCGTCGGTGCGACTGGGCGTCAGTGCGACTGGGCGTCGGTGCGACTTGGAGTCGGAGAGACTTGGCGGCGCGCCTGAAGGCTTAATTAGGTTAACTTGCTCTTAGTAACGACGTATGTGGATACTTAGTTGAATATATGTTATTTTGTTACACATTTTCTAAATTAACTTAATTTGTTTTCTGGTATCATTCTTCCATTATTGTTGTTCTCTTACTGTAAAGGCTGACAAATCCTGCTTTGTGTTCCACCCTTCTCTCCCACTCTCCATCCATTATACTCTTCTTTCTCCATGTCTGTCTTCTCTAACTCTCTCCCTTCCTCCTCTCTCTCTCTCTCTCTCTCTCTCTCTCTCTCTCTCTCTCTCTCTCTTACCACCGCTCTTTTTCTTCCTCCAATCCTTTCCCACCCTCTCATAGTTCTCTCTCTCTCTCATTCTCTTCCTCGCTTAACCCTTCCTTCCCTCTCTCAACACGGTGGCTTCCCTCTCCTCCCATCACTCTGACCGTTGCTAAAGCAACACAAGTCCTCTGAAATGCTTGTAATTTAAACTTTTATTTTTTTTTTTCATTATCTCCTGTTGCACTCACACTCTTATTTTTTATTTCTTTAAATTATGCTTCATTTTTCTGTTTATATGCTTTATGTTCTTTGGATGTTGTTTTATAAAAATATTTATGTTTTTCAGTTCAAGTTTTCTACGAAGATTATTGTAACTGTTAAATATATTCAATACATCAGATATTATTATTTTTTAATTTAGATGCATATTAAATTTTCCCAGGTTGTGGTGGTGGTGCAGGGGTCGAGTGTGTGTGTGTGTGTGTGTGTGTGTGTGTGTGTGTGTGTGTGTGTGTGTGTGTGTGTGTGTGTGTGTGTGTGTTTCAGAGCGTGTTTCTTCGTGTTGACATGTGTTTGAGCGTGTATGTACATGTTCTTACCCAGTCGTAGTTACAGGAACGAGTCTCTACTAATGGCTCCATCTCCGGACAAATAACAATGACATAATATTCTTGGCTTCATAGATTTCATCATACTTACTCTTAAGAATGTGTAAGAATTCTGTCTCCACCGAATTCTCACTCAGATTGAAAAAACTACTTTCTGTAATATGCGTTGATTCATTTATTTACTTATCTTCTGCCTATGCTCTCTTGTCTTCGATCTTTCTAATCGATTCATCTGAGGTATCGGGAACGTCGTTGTGATGCTTTCCCTGCTTTTCCTCTTACTTTCTTAGTACATCCTTAAATTTAGTTCTGGGATAATACTCGTAGAGAATCTCTATACTTTCTTTGATTTCTGGGAGTGGGTGCTGTTCAGTGCTGGTGCTGTTCTGTGCTGGTGCTGTTCTGTGCTGGTGCTGTTCTGTGCTGGTGCTGTTCTGTGCTGGTGCTGTTCTGTGCTGGTGCTGTTCAGTGCTGGTGCTATTCAGTGCTGGTGCTATTCAGTGCTGGTGCTATTCAGTGCTGGTGCTGTTCTGTGCTGGTGCTGTTCAGTGCTGGTGCTGTTCAGTGCTGGTGCTGTTCTGTGCTGGTGCTGTTCTGTGCTTGTGCTGTTCTGTGCTGGTGCTATTCAGTGCTGGTGCTATTCAGTGCTGGTGCTGTTCAGTGCTGGTGCTGTTCAGTGCTGGTGCTGTTCAGTGCTGGTGCTGTTCAGTGCTGGTGCTGTTCTGTGCTGGTACTGTTCTGTGCTGGTGCTGTTCTGTGCTGGTGCTGTTCTGTGCTGGTGCTGTTCTGTGCTGGTGCTGTTCTGTGCTGGTGCTGTTCAGTGCTGGTGCTGTTCAGTGCTGGTGCTGTGCCTCATGAAGTGTTTGATCAACGCAGTACAATGAGTTCTGAAGGACGTATAGTTGAGGTATTAGAATGCTTTTAAGTTTGCTAGGCGTATATACTTTGCCACAGTTATTTAGCTGATATACGCCGCCTCAGGCGCTATGTACATACCCCTCATTCTCTGTCTGAGGTTCGTAGCTTCTTCAACTTTCTGTATTCCGTATCTTGCACAGAACACATATTGTATCTGTTCATTTTATGCTTTAACTGCAAAGTACCAGAGAAGCACGCACACACACACACACACACACACACACACACACACACACACACACACACACACACAAACACAATTGTTCATTAATTAAAACCTGAAATATACGTTCTCATAAAGTATGCAAAGTGTTCGAGCAATAATAGAAACTGCTGCTAGCAATTAATGCCAACCCACATTAATCACATATGTATGTATATACACAGCCGCCTGTACAGGTATACATAAACACATGTCGAGTGAACGATAGTGAGCCATGTATTTTTATTAAAGAAAACACACACACACACACACACACCACACACACACACACACACACACACACACACACACACAAACCAAAAACAAATACCTTCTCTAGCATAAAGTCCTTCGCATCATACCTTACCACCATTCCCACGTAGAAATAACATCGAATTTCATAAGAATTAAGGTAAAAATCCCCTCTGCCACGGAAAAATGATCTCGAGGTAATAAAAAAAAAAGACCCAGAAACTAATAATTATTGCTGCAAAGGGAGGCACCAAACATTTTAAGGATTTACGACTCGCCGCAATAAGAGAAAAACTCATAACCTCGCCAAGTACGTACAATACAAGAGACTTTTATTGCCACATAAATGGTAAGATATGGCCCGTGATATTAGCGGAGGATAAGACAGTATCTGGAGGAGGAGCAAGCAGTGGCAGGCACACTCGCACCTACGGCGAGGCAGGAAGTTAGGGGAGTCAAAAATGAAGAGAAGAAGGAAGCTTGCGGAGTAAAAGAAAGAAGACAACAAGGAGAGAAGGAATGAACTAATAAGGAAGAAGGAAAGGGGAACGAATGAGTAAGCGAAGGAAGGAATGAGGGAATTAAAGGAAAGAAGGAAAGGGATTCAAAAAACTAGAAAGCAAGGAAGGACGGAATGATGAGGAGGAGAGTGTAAGAGGGAGATAACAGAGCTAGAGAGGTTTAGCGGACGGAAGGCGGCGTTGTAGAGGAAAAATTGTGAGTGAAAAACTGAATGAAAAAAAAAAACAAAAACCATTTCATTCCGAGAGGGAGAGAAAGAGAGAGAGAGAAAGAGAGAGAGAGAGAGAGAGAGAGAGAGAGAGAGAGAGACAGACAGACAGACAGAGACTAAGAGAGAACAAAAAACAAAGATTAAAGAAGTTCAAAAGGAAAGCAACTTTCCGCACCTCCACCCACACACATGCACACAATTAGAGGAAACACCATGACATCATATCAACAGCAACTACCGCACGCTGGAAACCATTACACACACAAACACAGATAGTAGGGACAGGGGGGAACATGATCACATCATATAAAATACTGAAAGGAATTGACAAGGTAGATAAGGACAGAATGTTTCAGAGACGGGACACAGTAACAAGGGGTCACATCTGGAGTTAGATGAATCACAGGGATGTTAGGAAGTATTTCTTCAGTCATAGACTTATCAGGAAGTGTAACAATCTGGAGAGTGATGTAGTGGAGGCAGGATCCATACATAACTTTAAGAAGAGGTACAATAAAACTCAAGGGCAGGGAGAAAGTGGACCTTGTAGCAACCAATGAAGAGGCGGAGCCAAGAGCTGTGATTCGACCCCTACAATCACAAAGAGTTGAGCACAAATAGGTGAGTACATTTCCAAAAATCCCCTGAAAAGAAAAAGATGAAACTAAATTATATCCCAAACTGCTATTGTCATTCCGTGTCAGTGAGCCTTTCGTCTCTCCGCAACAATGGTGCGCAATACCGACAAGATGACGGAGTACGCACAGGGCATCGAAATTTGAAAACATTTCGCCAACCAATGGCTTTTTTCAGTTCACTTCACAGATGAAGTACGAAGACAGTGGAAAAATAAAGAGGTCAGTCCCTCTGTTCTAGATAACTATAGTCACGGTATTGTACCTGCATATTCTTTATACATATCCTATTGTCTCACCTGCTGCAATGATAGCGAATGCACAAGGAACGCTCTGTTCCCCGATCTCATTGAAGGCCCAGCACAAGAGTGTGCCATAGTCCAGGTGACTCTTGGGAGCATAACTGGCCACGGAAAGGAAATCCTGCGTGTGTGTGAGAAAATTTTGTTGGTTAGTTACAGGGTCATACGAAATCGCTATTTCGTTATTTACAAATATTGGTTAATTGAGGCCAAATAATTTTTTAACCTCTATAGATGTGTGGCTCTGCTGTAAATCACAGTGTATTATTTATTTTCGGATATGTTAAACTAATGTCGTGCTTTGTTTTCATCTGTGATGCATTAATTATTTTTGCAGGTAAACACTGCAATTAAATAACTTTTTTTGTGGTCGTGTGTAGATAAACTTTGAACACAATTCTCCACATTTTCAGATAATTAGGTTTGATCTGTATAATTACTGCAATTAACATCATTCATTAGAGAATATATATATATATATATATATATATATATATATATATATATATATATATATATATATATATATATATATATATATATATATATATATATTATATATATATAGGGAGGTACCACCTCTAGAACTGTCCTAGGGACCCTCATCCTCAGAGAAAAGAATAAACTTGCTTCAGGAAAAACTCAAGGTTCTCCCTGAAGCTGTTTGAGAATTTTCTCCTACCACCCCCTATATTTCAAATATGTTTTATTTATTCTATAATACATAGCAAAGACTTCCAAAACTAAAACTATTAATATTAATTCGATTTAATATAATATCCACTACAATAATAGTTCCCGTATTAAAAAACTTTAAGATGCTGAAAGACTAACTTTTATAAAGGTGAATCAACTCGAGGCAAAGGTGCTCGTTAGGTGCAGAGAGACACTCACCTGGAAAGGAGGGTAACGACCCCGGGCAAGGCGAGACGAATGAGAAAGTCTCTTTACACCTGTTGCCTCTGCAATTATGCATCTAGATGTATAGTCGACTGCTGTGGGTCGTATCCTGGGCTTTGATATATGCTGTGGCATGACTACAGTTCTTGGCCCATAATTGGAGATGAGCAAAAAAATCTCACCTGGAAGATGACGGTGGAGGCTGGGATGGAAGATAACTCAAATAATAGGTAACGAGGAAGCTGGGACGGAAGGTAACTCACCTGGGAAGTTACAGCAGAGGCCGGGATGGGAAGGTGTTCGGAAGTGTTATTGAAGGTCCACCTGAAGGTGACGGGGCCAGGACTGGCCTCCACCTCGCAGGTGACGCTCGCAGGTTCGTGTAGTGCTGTTCCGTAGATGGTCTTACTGTGGCGGCGGCAGTATGGCTTGTCTGTAGGGTATTGAACGGTACACTAATTATGTAACTTGTCCAAAGTACAGCTTATCTGCAGGGTACAATATGGTTCAGTTAAATAAATTAAAATACTAGGACAAAGTATATGTGAATTACTCTATCCACACTCATCACAGATTCTGCAGTGCAAGATGTGGCAGGAGAACGGAAATAATCTCCGCTTCACCTGGGAGATGGAGATGCATAACTTATATCTCCTCATATGTGATGTTAACCTGCAGATGGTTCTGGAGATCAACTCCCCAGCGCCCGGTTCCAAATAGTCTTCTTCGCTAACGACCTGTTCAGTTACATTCACGACAATGTAAAAGTCTACTTCTGCGTAAAGAGGAATTATTTTTTCTTCGGTTTGTAAATCCCGTGTTTGTTCATTGATTGCAAGGAATGACGGAGAGTCGACCCTTCGGAATGTGGAGTCATGTGAACTAATCTACCTAAAATTATTTATATATATATATATCTATTTTATATAGATGATATATCTTGTGTGTGTGCACAGTGTGCGTGTGTATTTTTTAACACGCGTATTTAGTCAGAAAAATTACATCGGATTCGCCAGTCAACATATAATTTTCTTCTGGTTAGTTACCATCAGTAATTCGTGAAGAAAACACAATACATGTAACTGAGTTTCCATCACAGTCATCATATCATGATACCTTATCATTATTCCTCATTCCCTTTCTCACTCTCAACTTATCTCGAGAAATATTGCAAAAAGAATACCTTCACAGAAGGCCTTTTACGATACATAAAATAATTAAATGTGTATTGTGTCTAATGGAATAGTCTATTCACAATATAATGAAATATTATGTGTATTATTATTTCTTTGGCCATCCTGCGAATTTGTCTTATAATTTTCCTAAATTTCACGTTCCCGTTTTCCACTTGTATGTTTCGAGTATCTGAGGGAAGCATTACACATTATATATTTGCCTTGGTTTCTACCAGTGGATTCCGTCATCACCTGTATATCAGTGGTGATGTGCCTGTACATGATGCACTAGACCGTCGTGTATGACTCCACCAGAACATGCTCCTTCGTTATATTTTATGCAGGTGCTTCAGCAGGGTAACATGGGACCTGAAGTGTTCTGTTTCTGCACACTGTCAATTGTGTAGGATATCTATAGGATATCCCCTGATATACTGAAATTCCACAACGATGCAAATATCTGATAACGGACTCGTTCATACTATATTTTGATTCCGAAATATAATTAGTTATCTAAGCTAACCAAGATCAAATTTATGAAACGTAATAGAGCTAAACACTATTATTTTCAATCAAATGTATTTATTTCGTGATGTGTCTACTAATTCTGGAGAAATTTTATTGAAAAATTGTATGATCTTGCGCTGTTTATGTTTACTAAAGGATCACTGTTATATTTGTTAATTTCATGTGCTCTGTCTGAGCAGCTCGACCCCACAAATAAACGCACACACACGAATACATAATGCATCCAATGATGTATTACTGCACGTGGATGACGGTCATGTAATGCAGTACATATCCAAAATTACTAAAATGATCGAAAAAAAAAATCAGGAAAGTGGTTACGAGAACGGATCACATCCTGGGAGGTGAAGTGCTGAAGACAACATGAAAGGATCAAGGTCTGGGAGAGAGCATTTCATCTAACATATTACTGGAATCACATATGAACCATTTAACTTTATTTTCGTTTGGCTCTAGTTGTTGTTTACATAAAAAAAGTTATCAAGCAATATTATGGCCCTTTATTTTATATTAGCACGCAGTATAGATTTATCTATATTAGTATATATCCATCAATACTAGCAGTAATTAGCAGTATTATTTTGTAAAGGAATGAACCGGTAAGCCAGCTGAAGGCCTCTGACAGATGACCAGATGCTCCAGTGGCGGGTCATCTTATGACTGAGACCCGCGACAGGAATATTTGTGCTGTTTCCTGACGAATCTTACTTAATACATGTATTACCTATTAATATTAGTACACAATACGCGTCCATTAGATGTTAGTACACATCCTCTATAATAGTATATAAACATCAACTGTGTATTATATTTCTTTCAAATAAGTCTCTGATAATAATTCTTAGACAAAGCATCATGAAAATTTAGGTACATCACAGCAGCCATCTTGCTTTTATCTTACGTGATAAATATATTTTGAAAGAGAAATCAAGATCATTCAAACATGATTTTCTGAAATTCTTGTTGTGAGTTTGTAAAAACTTTATGTCGATGTGTTTGATCTCGACATATTGTCTCCAACAGTTTTCTACCTTTTGAAGTTAAGATAATTGGTGGAAAATTACTATGAAGTGAAATGTTTATCGTTTTATGGATCCATGTCGCCTTCACAGGTTTCTGTTCCTTTGCGAAGTTTTTTCTTCCGAGTTACCTACTTTGACTATATATTTCTGTTTTTCTTAACAGAGCTGAACAAGGTCAGGCACTATATTTACTATGAGTTGCGAGTGCTATAGTTTATAAATTGCATGATGTTACCATCATTGAGAAATAACGTTGCTGTTACAGGAACATAATTAAAGCAATTAGTAAATACAGAATAATAACCTCGCATATCATATCTTTGTAATATATGCGTCATTACAAATTCAGTCGATGGTTTTACTACTTTGGGATAGAGAATTTTTATTTTTTAATAATTAAGAACCTTTAGGGTTGCGATACGCTATTTTCAGTAACTGTTGACTCAAAGTTACGTTCACAAAGACACTGAACAACTTTGATCTTCGTAACCAAATCCATTCTGTTTTAATAAGATTTTTAGCATTTAACTAATAATATTTAAGGTTTTTATATGAGTCACAGTATTTAAATGTTACACATTTTTATATCGTTAAATACAGTTTGTTTTATGTTTCCAATTTGTCCATAAAATTCATGATAATTTATGCCGCTAAACATTTTTCCAAACTTTTTCAAAGCTGCATTTGCCAATTATTTTCATACTGAGATACGAAAAATCTCGCAACATTTTGTCAAATTTTATTTTTATAATTATTTTTCACAGCTAATATTTGTTTTCATATAACATAATAAAAGTAATTTTGATCTTGACAGCCTTAATTAATCGGGCTTTTCACATGTAAGCTCAACCAGCTGGCACATCGCACTGCCCAGGTGTATACTGCTCATACCTGTCCCAGACCTGGTACACAGCGTCTTGCAGGAGCAAAAATAGTGTCCGAAGAAAAGAAGAGCGAGGTAAACAAAGAATGAAGTACAAGGTAAACAAAGAATGAAGTACAAGGTAAACAAAGAATGAAGTACAAGGTAAACAAAGAATGAAGTACAAGGTAAACAAAGAATGAAGTAAAAGGTAAAAAATGAATGAAGTACAAGGTAAACAAAGAATGAAGTACAAGGCAAACAAAGAATGAAGTACAAGGTAAACAAAGAATGAAGTACAAGGTAAACAAAGACTGAAGTACAAGGTAAACAAAGAATGAAGTTCAAGGAAAACAAAGAATGAAGTACAAGGTAAACAAAGAATGAAGTATAAGATAAACAACAAGGCAAACAACATTAAAGTAAACAAGGAAAAAATATAGTAAAGGAGCAATCATAAACTCTGAAGAAGAATGATATAAACAAAATAGAACAAAGTACAAAGTAAACAACAATGAAGTAAACAATAAAGAATGTGTTTTCAAGTATGAATAAAGATTCCTCAAATATAAACAAAATTCCTGAGTAAAAGGAATGAATGAAGTACTTGGAAGAAAGTGTGATAAAAAAAAAAAACTTCTAAAAACGAAAAGGTAGAATTCTCGCTTAATCTTAGCGCCATCTCACTACCTTCCCTCTTCATTACTCCCTCATTTCCATCCTGGATACCTCTCGCGCCGGTAAAAACACCTCTGATGAGTTTTATTCTGAAGAAAAATAAAAATCTTGGTGGCGTGCGGGTAATTAAATAGACTCTTGGGGAAGGTAAATGTATGTGTCAACTCCCCCAAGGTTTCTGGTGCTGGTTTTTTTATTATTACTCATAGTAAAGATGAGTAAAAAAAAAAGGGAAATGAATTACTTAAACTTCCACTCTGGAACAGCTGTAAGAATTACTTATAGGCCCATGTAAGTATGTATTCACCTATTTTTAATTACCTATTTGCATGTGGTTGCAGGGATTAACAGCCTCATCGCTGGATTGTGTGTGTGTGTGTGTGTGTGTGTGTGTGTGTGTGGTGTGTGTGTGTGTTGTGTGTGTGTGTGTGTGTGTGTGTACTTGTATATTTACTTTCGACATTTAGGATAATAAAATTTCGTGTATAGCTAAATAGGTAAATTAAAATACGTGTAAAAATGATTTAACATAAAAAACGTTCACAACTCTCTAATAAGTGCTGACAAACTAAATATATAAAAATAAAAATATCAGAGAAAACAGTAAAAGTTTGAAAACGTTTCCATATATGGAGATAATGGTACAAAATACAGACGCGATGGAACAAAATACAGACACATTCGCATATAATATGATCGTTTATTGACTACGTATCACCCACAACAGTAGCTTTTATCCAGTCACAAACAGATCTACCTGAAAAGAGAGTATCTGAATATATACAGGAATCATAGAGACGTGAAGGGGCAAGTGAGGAATGCTGAGAAGAGGTTGAATTTGAGAAGAATCTACCCGGAATAGGCAAGGTGGTTTGCTGTTTTGTAGGATAACGACGAATACGTTTTAATGGCCTGTTTTACAAAGAAACTTGCACAACCATTTAATCAACTACAGAGACGCAAGACTCATTGCCAGGGAAGAAGATACTCAGAGTCCCAGGGCGTTGGAATCATCACTCCTCCGTATATTCAACAGTTTCAGCTGAAAGCCTTGCCAGGAAACCTCTTCATCGTTACCCTACATAACGACAAAATTATTTGCACATTCCTGGCAGGTCCTGTCAGTATTCGTAATATATATGTCGTGCTGAATAGGTAAAACGTTTCC